TTCTTCCCTCTTGTCTCTCTCTAAATTTTTGCATCCACATATACACACATATATATAAATATCAGAAAATGCACTTAATCATATATACCTGCCTTAAAATAGTCATTTATGAATTGAACTGCAACAAACATATTTCTGTACCTTTTCAGTGAATGTACACACCTTGAATACATAGAAGTACACATGGAGTAGAACAGCTTAAACAACATGAGTTAACTTTTCTTGTTTGTTAATTTCCTATATATAGAATCTTGCAAAAATAGATTCTATATTTCCATTTAAAGAATACAATTTAATGGCTCAATATATATTTTCAGAGCTGTGCAGCTGTAACCATAGTCAATTTTAGATATTTTCATCATTCTAAAGAGAAAATCACATAGGCATAAAAATTTGCTTATTCTGGATATTTTCTGTAAGTAGAATCATATAGTATATGGTCTTCTATGTGACTTTCTTCTTTCACTTAAATTTCTTAAGGTTTATGCATGGTATCAGCAACTAGCTCTTTCTTACTGTCAAATAATATTTCATTACATGAATGTAGAGCATGTACTTGTTTGTCACTTGATGGATATCTGGGTTGTTTCATTTCTGGCTACTATAAACAATGTTACAGGCACTATTATAAAATTTTTGTGTAAATATATTTTTGTTTTGAATATATGAATGAATGAAAATATTTATCTATATAATGACTCTGTGTGGACATTTCAAGATATGCCAGAAGTGTTTCCAAAGTTACTGATCCATCTTTCATTCTCACCAACATTCTACAAGGATTCCAAATTCTCCACATCTGTACCAACAGTCTTTGTTTTTTTTTTCTATCCCTCCAGTGAGTTTGAAATCATCTATTTTTGTGGTGTTCATTGACATTTGTGTTGCTGAGACATCTTTTCATGTATTTTTATGTAATTATTTTTTTGCATTGATTAATTATATAAGAGCTTGTTTTGATATGTTTATATATGCATACAATGCATCTTGATAACTCACCACTTCATTGTTCAATATTCACAATATGTCCTTAAAGTATTTTGACCATATCTTAAAATTTATCGTTTTTATCCATAGTGTCTACCATTCTTCCTCCTCCTCCTCCTCCATCTTTTTTTCTTCTGTTTTTCTTTTTGTTTTCTTCCTTGTGGGGCTGAGAATGGAACTCAGCCTTCCATTTATGTTAAGAACATTGTACTATAGAAACTCACTCCCATCTACTTTGTGAGAGTTATCCCTGTTGTTTATAAGTGATAGTATTTTGCTTATTTTAATTTGCAAATTATTTTCCAGTGTATGAATATATTTCATTGCATTGCCTGTTATACTCAGTGCACAAATGGTCACTTTCCATTTTGAAGAATTATAAGTAATGTGGCTGTAAAATTCATATATGTGTCATTAAGTGTATATTTATTATATGTATATACATATGTATCTTTAAGTATTTATATATTTCTGTTGGAAATATATCTAAGAGTAGAATTACTAAGCCATAGGAAATGGACTTTTCTTAGTTGATACAATTTTTCCCAAGTACTCAAACCAAATTATAGTTTTTCCAGCTGTATTTCAGAATTTCTGATCTTTCACCATTTAGTGCATGGTATCTTTAACTCTTCTTCAGGAATCATAATGATATCACATTGGATTGTAGATTATGCTAACTTGATGATAACTGAGGTAAGGAGCATTTTTTTTACATTCACAGGGTTTTCATGCAGTGTCCTTTATGAAGCAACCTTCATGGTATTTGCCCATACATTAGCTAGGTCTATCTGTTTTCTTGCTGATTTGTGTAAGTTTATTATATATTGTAGATATTACTCTGTGTTGAAAGAGATTTTAAATGAAAATTTTCATTATTTTTTCTCCCACATTGTAAAAGACCTATTATAATCTCTTTATTTAGATTAACTATGTTAATGGCACAAAGGGATTTCATCATGGTATTTACACACATGAATAAAATGTATTTTACTAAATTCACCCCTCTATTACTCTTTGTTAACACTTCCTCCACCTTTCCTCACTACACATGTATATATTTTGGTTCTTTTGTCCTATTTGATAACCTTTATGCTAACATCATGCTGTCTAAAGTTTTGTAATGTTCCATCTTGAGTATATATTCTCAAGATTTCCCTAAATATTCAGATCATTTTAGTTTCAATATAAATTTTAAATCAGCTCAGTAATTAGAAACATTTTATTAAGAAAATATAGACTTTGTATTGGGACTTCACTGCATATCAAATCATATTAAGAGGTAAATTCTATAATATTACTACTGTGGAGGCAGAAATCAAGAGAATGACAATATGAGGACAATCAGAGGAAAAATTCTTGAGACTTCATCTTAGTCAATAGAAAGCTGAGTATAGTGTTATGCACCAAGCTATGTGGGAAGCATAAGAGAATCATAGTCTAGGCAAGCTAGGCTTAATCCGAAGATTCAATTTGAGAAGTAACAAAGTCCTTTTGAGCTACGGGACATGCCTCAAAGGATCACAGTGACTGCCTCGTTAAGTATAAGGCTGAATTTAAACTCTAGTACTAAGCAGAGTGTGGGAGTGGAGGGGGCAGAGGAAAATTGGTGTGTCACAGTAAGTCCCAAACAGACTTCTACTAAAAGTGTAAAAGTGTATATATTGTATATATTGAAGTTACGTTAAGTTTTCAAAATATACAATGTGGTATAATACTAGAAAATAAGTGCTATTCTTCATGTTAATAGCAAAAAATAAAATAAATATCATATCACACAATTGTCTGAATAGATGCAGAAAAAGCATTTGAGCAACTATGAGTTCTTTCTATACCTTTTGGTTTTTTTTAAAGTCTTGGCAAACTAGAAATAAAAAGGACTAATTTCAATGTTATGATGAGAAACATTGACAATGTCGTCATTGACTTTGGGCTTAGAAACGAGTATTTTGCTCTTGCCAGGTTGTCATGAAAATTCTAGCCCAGGCAGAAGGGAAACTAACTGAAATGCTTTTCCTTAGCAGCTGCCTCTACGTGGAGAGAAAATGAAGTGGAGAGAAAATCGGGTGGGAAAAGGAAGGAAGGGAAGGGAAAGAACAGAAGCTCCCAATCTTGAAACTGGCAGTGTTCTGATGGTTAGCTATTTGTGAAGGCAGATTTAGGCCAGAAGATTTGAGAACATAAACCTACCTTGAGGAAGAGGAAAGTCCAATAATTCTTCAAAACCCGTTTCTCACATGTTTTTACATGCTAAAAGTTGTTTAATCTTAATGCTCTAAAACTTCAACTGGTGCTTGTTTGGGATAACTGGAGCTCCATCTTGACTGAACATAAAAGGATGGGTGATTAGCTTCTTCCTTGGGGGTTTGCCTAGACGTTCCACTCCGTGTTTCACTATTCATGGTTGCTATGGAGAAAGTTCTGGCACGTTCTACTCTTTTCCTATTTACTGTCACATTTTGTTTTATTTTTACTCTTAGGTTGAACATAGACATATATCTTCCATTATTTTAAGCAAAACAGGACCATCACACAAAAACATATGGAGATACAAACATTTTAATTTCAATTTTTATATTTTTGTTGCTCTATATTAGGTAGAGCATCTTTAGTTTCTATGTTTTCCACAAACTTCTGGTGTGAAACCTCTCACAATTTGTTTGAAATTCTACTTCTGTTTCTTTTTTTAATTTTCATAGCTTTTTTTAAACTTTTTTTCTTTAAGATCATATGTTGATTCTTTGAAATTAAGAGGGTGTGCATTTTGCTTAGTTCACTCAGTTTTTCTATAACATTTATTGCTGCTAATATGTACTCTTTATATTGAAATAATTATTTCTGCTTCAGTATGCTTATAGATATCTCACACATGCTGATGCTGCTTACTGTCCTTTTCCTTTTTCCCTCCTCCCCACTCTTCCTTGTACTTCTCCTCCTCCTCCTCTTCCTAACCTTTCTTTTGGTACTTACTGTGATGGATGTTTGTAGACTGTTGGGTAAAGGATCAATAGTCAAACTACGTTTATACTAACTTTTATTTTAGCGTTAGTGAGGTTGTTCTAAATTATTGGGAAGGGCTTCTGGTTCAGAAAGATACCAAACAAGGTCCATTAGATATAGTGCTTTAGATTAGTAGTATTCATCATGATAGCTTCTAATCTATTTCATCAGACCAAGAATATTCTGTAACAGTGTTATAGAAGGACATGAACAAAGACTCAGGTCTCATCTAGCAGATACCAATTACTGCCACTCCAAGCAAGATATCACAAGCTTTCTTCCTCAGGACCAATACCTTATTTTAGAAAATCCACACTCTATGATTCTGCCTTTTTCTTTTCTGTTGATATGAGATTATGGAAATGTTCTTGTTTTCATTTGAAATTTTGGCTTGGGTTCAGAGTGATTAAAAAATGAACATCTTTTAACTTGAAAATATGCAATTGGAGGTTAGTTTGCAATATTTGCTCCTATGAACTTGATGTTTACAATCTTAGCCAAATGTAGAAATTAAAAAATGTTGATCTCACATATGCAGATAGTTAAATCATAATAGTAAGGACTGGAGCAGTTGTGGGAGGGTTGGGGAAATGTTAGTCCATGGATACCAAATTTTAGAGCTATAGTAGAAATACATTTAAGAACACTCTATTGTACAATATGATGACCATAGTTAATGACAATAGAATCTGTTCTTGAAAAAAATGGAGGATGTATAGATTTCAAGCATTTTTATCACCAAAGGTTAACATGTAAGCTAATGAATATGATAATGAGCTAATTTTATTTGTTCCCTCCATAATATTCATATACTTCAAAACATCATGTTCTACATGACAAATAAGTACAATTTTATCTGTCAGATTTCAGAGTAAAACCTGATTTCATCTAAATGTCAATTCTCAAGCCATTATAAAATGCTATGTAAAAAAAGGGTTTGAATTTTAAGTTTTAGTTTTTATTTGTAGTTTCTTGTTAAATAAGTCTGACATACAGAATTTCTCATTTTCCAGATGCAGCAACTATTCCATGAAAACTATGAGCACAACCGGAAGGGTTATATCCAAGACCTGCACAACAGCAAAATTCATGCAGCTATAACTCTGCACCCCAACAAAAGGCCTGCGTACCAATATAGGCTGCATAACTATATGCTGAGTCGTAAAATTTCTGAGCTTCGACACCGCACTATCCAGCTCCACAGGGAGAGTGCTCTGATGAGTAAGCTCAGTAACACTGAGGTGAGCAAGGAGGACCAGCAGCTGGGAGTCATGCCTTCTTTTAACCACTTCCAGCCTCGAGAGAGAAATGAAGTAATAGAATGGGAGTTCTTGACAGGAAAGCTCCTCTACTCAGCTGCTGAGAACCAGCCACCTCGACAAAGCATCAATAGCATCCTAAAAGCTGCACTGGATGACACTGTCCTGCAAGTGATGGAGATGATCAATGAGAATGCCAAGAGCAGAGGAAGGCTCATTGATTTCAAGGAAATTCAGTATGGATACCGCAGAGTTAATCCCATGCATGGAGTGGAGTACATTTTGGATTTATTACTCCTCTACAAAAGGCACAAAGGAAGGAAACTGACTGTGCCAGTGAGACGTCATGCTTATCTTCAGCAGTTATTCAGCAAGCCTTTCTTCAGAGAAATGGAAGAGTTAGATATCAGTGGTCTTGTGGAAAGTATCAATAGTGACACTCAGCCATTCTCCTTAATATCTAATTCGCTAACAATACTATCTTCTCTTCCAGGGGCCAAAGAAATGGGAGGTCAAAATGAAAAGAAAATACATATTCTGGTTCCCCTCGTTGGAAGATTTGACATTTTCTTGAGATTCATGGAGAACTTTGAAAATACATGTCTGATCCCAAGGCAAAATGTAAAGCTGGTCATAATCCTTTTCAGTAGGGATTCTGGCGAAGATTCTGACAAGCATGTCGAGCTCATACAAGAATATCAGAACAAGTACACTAAAGCAGATATAACCCTGATTCCTATGAAGGGAGAGTTTTCCAGAGGTCTGGGTCTTGAAATGGCCTCCTCCCAGTTTGACAATGACACTTTGCTGCTATTTTGTGATGTTGACTTGATCTTCAGAGGAGACTTTCTCCAACGATGCAGAGACAATACAATTCAGGGACAACAGGTATACTATCCGATCATCTTCAGCCAGTATGACCCAAAGGTAACCAATGGAGGAAATCCTCCCATAGATGATAATTTTGTATTCTCAAAGAAAACTGGATTTTGGAGAGACTATGGCTATGGAATCACCTGTATTTACAAAAGTGATCTTCTGGGTGCAGGTGGATTTGATACCTCAATACAAGGCTGGGGACTGGAAGATGTAGATCTCTACAATAAAGTGATTCTGTCTGGTTTAAGGCCCTTCAGAAGTCAAGAAGTAGGAGTGGTGCATATTTTCCATCCAGTTCATTGTGATCCTAACTTGGACCCTAAGCAATATAAGATGTGCTTGGGATCCAAGGCAAGTACTTTTGCCTCAACCATGCAACTGGCTGAACTCTGGCTAGAGAAACATTTGGGTGTCAGGTACAATCGAACTCTCTCCTGACAGTCTAGGCAACACATACTGCCTTTTCTAAGGGGAGTTTACCTCATTGTCAGTTCTTATTTTTATTTTATTATTATTATTATTGTTGTTGTTGTTGTTGTTATTGTAATTTTATTTTATTGTCCTGGTCTTAAACAACTCTTTGGTGGTTTTCAGAGAGTATTGTTGACCTCAAGCAAAAAGAGTCTGCAATTCACTGAAAATTCAGAGTTCTACTGAAGGCAATATGTATATTAATTTTCCATATCTTTATTTGGGATTGAGTTAAATCATTGCAATCAAATGACTTTTCAAGCTCATTCAGCACAAGAGACAGCTTAAAAGAATGTTCTCTTAGGGCTTAAAGATGCAATATTGACTTTTATTTTGTTAACTTCAATGTGATACAGACATTTATTTGTGAAAGGTACCACAAAAGTGCTTTACGCTTCCTATGGGGAAGGACTCTGTAACATAAACTTGAGTTTTGTAATTTATACAAGGACTTAAATATATAGACAATAATTTTCTTCATCTTTAGAATTTTTAAAGTAAATGAACACCTATGATTGTATGTTTATTTTTTAAAAAATGTTTTAAAAATTGAGGAGTTTGTTCTACAAGTAACCGGTACTGGCTACCATGGTCTTAAGACAATTATGAGCTCCTCACAACTGTCTGCTATAAATGCGAATGAACTTTATTTTCTCAAGGAATATGATTTAATTAAATATTCATGTACATTTTAGAGCTTTATGAAACAATGTCCTTCATTTGCTGGCAAGAAGATAATCTATGACAGAACCTGTTTATTTATAATAAAATACAGGTATAATAGTATTCTTTTTTTTCCAAAAACACTGAAAAAGTTGTGCTGTTTCCTTTTAATCACATTTGATGTGCTTCTTGATAATCACCACTACATATTTGCACAGGATAGAAAATCTAACAAGGGCTTGTGGGTACATTGTTTCTCTTATTATGTTTTGAAGTCTACATTCATAAGTGATCAATAAAAGCAGCTTCTTCCTTCAGTAGTCTTACAAGCTGAGAAAGCGTTTCTCCTCTATCTTTACAGGTTTTGACATCCAGCTGACCAGGAGCAGTCATAAACTGCCTTTCATATGAGTTAGAAGGTATTTCAAAGATACAACAACCATGATGAACTTAATATAAAACTTACTTTACAATTATAAGAAGCATGGAAAAAATATCTAATTTCACATGCCAGCCTTTCTTTGAGTTAAATCAGTAATGTCAACTTTATAGAAAAAACAAGTTGAAGAAATCAGAGAAAATGAATATTTGTGCAGGAAAATCTTGTGAAGGCATATTTATAAATTTCATTTTGTAAGTAGGTAGCACATTTGCATAGGTCAAAATATCTGCTATAATATCGAGCAAAAAGTTTTAAATGTCTGCTTGCTGTCAGTGTCTTTCCACATCTACCCAAACTTCTGACTGTAAAAACTGCAGTTTGGAGGCTTGTGTGCATCTCTTTCCAGAAATTTCTTTTCTTTTTTTTTTGTTGGGTCCGGTCGTGGGGCCTGAACTCTGGGCCTGGGCACTGTCCCTCAGCTCTTCAGCTCAAGGCTAGCGCTGTACCACTTGATCCACAGCGCCACTTCCAGCTTTTTTCTTTTTGCTTATGTGGTGATGAGGAATCGAACCCAGGGCCTCATGCACGCAAGGCAAGTGCTCTACCACTGAGCCACCTTCCCAGCCCCTCTTTCCAGAAATTTCTAAAGCAAAAAAGATATGTATTTAATACACAAACTTGAAACTCTGATTTTTGTTTATTCATCTAATGAGAAAAATTGCATCAAAAATAAGTTAAAAGTGATTGTCATCAATTGTTGCTCTTATTTTTTGGGTAGTACTAAAATCTGAACTCATGGTGTGAGACTTGCTACACAGATGCTTTACCCCTTGTGCAACATCCAACTCTAGTTTATTGCCATTGTGAAGAACAAAGGCGCACAGGCTGTACATTCTTCAAAAATAATATTGCTTAATACTAGAGAAATCATGATGAAATAAAATCTCCTTGACTAAACATACAATTTGACAAATGTCAAACTAATTAGGAAGGAATTTATGGTATTTTAGTTGTTTAAAAGCTCATCTTGACAGGGCCAAGAATTCAGAAGTGATCTCTGCTCTGATACTGTCTCAGACCTTCACAAACCCTTCTTCAATAATTTATTTTTCTATAGGACACTGACTTTGCTATTTTGCAGATTTTATTTCCCTAAACAGTAATGTGGGCAGATTTATTACCAGTCATAATTACTAGTTATTTTGCAAACAAAGAAATCAGAATTACTCTTTTCTTCAGTTTAGAAAAATGAAATGAGAAAATTTTACTGAGAAAAAAAACTTGAAAGTCAAACTTAAAACATTCCAAGAACCATGAGGCCGCTGAAATGGCCTTCTCTATCCTATTGATAAAACTGGAGAATCAAGGAAATATTGAGCTCTTACTTGAAACTAACTGAACATATACATGTTCATGTATTAAAAACATGTATTTAAAACCCCTTCCTATATTTTGTGTTAATGTTTCCTGTGATTTTTTAGGCAATGTGATATTCCCTGAATGAAAAGTTAAGAACTGTTATTAGTAAAGGTGAGTAGTATCTGCTAGTGAATTCTATCTAGTTCTGTTACCTAAACATCTTTAAGCTATTGTGCACGGTTGCTGTCTTTAGTCAGAATTTCTACACTTGGATAGCTGTAAAAGTGATGTAGAAGCATCACCCAATGGCAATTCTATCACCCTTCAACAGCATCTTGAGTATCCAATAAAACACCATAGTTTTGCTTCCTTTTTTGGATTTTTTAAAAAAGTTTAATCCTCTCAACAACTCTCAGTATTTTATATATTCAAGGATCCATTTACCAATAAAAACTTGTCCAAAGCTTTTATAGTTGGCATACTATAAAAATTGAGGTTCAATATAAAGGCCATCTAAATGTAACATACCTGTCTTTGCTCTCCATAACTTCTCATTTGTTGGGAAATGGAGGAGACAATGGTGGGGAAAAAAAAGTCCATCTGACTGACTATGCACATGTCTGATACACCAATCAGCCTGCTCTATTAGGTGTCCATTCTGGAAGGAGCTAAATTCATTACTTTCTGTTCTGTAGAGCCTCTCTGTTCTTTAGTTTCAGTCTTCTCCCACGTTGTTATATACTATGTTCAGTCCTATGCCAGGCAAGGCACAAGTTTTTCTATCAAGTCAGTGAACTTCATCTATGAAAAAATGGCTCAAAATTTCTAAGGACAATAGTAATGTTTCTATGTCATCTCAGCAAGTTGAGTACTACATAATTGCTTAGGTGTTTGTGTTTGTACCCCAGATTGGGTACAAGCCAGTCATCAATACAGAAATAAATATGAATAGAATAATCTGTTATGGCTAGTGAATAGATTAGGAACTGTAGAAGTAGAATATTCAAATGTGTAGCCTTATAATCCCACCAAAGGAATAAATGTTCACTGGATTTATAAATGATAAGATGGCTCTAGCATAAGATAGCTAGAAGCTATCTCTAATCAATACTGATTTCATTTAGGTTTCTTTTCTAACAGTTTTGATTGCTCAGAAGAGAAGCTGTAAGGTAGAACTGGACCTAGGGATTAGCTGTCCTTTCCTCATACTCTTCTTTTACCCACCTAACAGAGAATATGTACATGAAAGTACAATATGCTGGGACAAGCCTCAAGTAGCCAACAAAATGTTTGTAACTCTCTAATGGCCTGGATGATGAGTTTGGGGTAGAAACGGATCCTTTTATATATTTGATACTATATCACCAATCTACTACTCTGTTGTACTGAACGTGATTGGAATCAAGTTCCTTTTAACTTAGAAATATCTCTTAAAACGGTCTACAAACATCATGAATTTGTGCTTGTTTTTCATTTAATTTTATTGTCAAGGTGATGTACAGAGGGGTCACAGTTACATACGTAGTGAGTACATTTCTTGTTGAACATTTTTACCCCCTCCCTCATTTTTCTCCCATTAGCCCTCCCCCACAATGTTGTTCCAACATATTGTATTGTGAGTGTTGTTGTTGGTTCACCCTCTGTCCTTTGTCTCATCATTTTGTTACCCTTGCCTTCCTCAAATCAGATAAACGTATATACAACACAGGGTACCAAAATCAAACAATATCGCCCAAGGATAAACTGAAGGAAAAATAGAAAATGAAAGAAAAAAGAAATAACTTCACACAGTACATTAAAAAAACAACAAAGAAAAACCTCTTGTTTTCATGTCTTGGAGTTCATTTTGATTAGCATCATCTTATATGGTCATATGTTCATAGCTCTTGAGCTATTGTGTTCTTCTGTTAGGAATATCCTAGACACCTACTAATTATTACAAATGAGGGGAACCTTGGAGTCTATGTTTCTTTTGGGTCTGACTTCACTTAATATGAGTTTTTTCCAAGCCTTTCTATTTCCTTACAAATGGGGTGATGTCATTCTTTCTGATGAAAGTATAGAACTCCATGTGTATATATATCACATTTCCTTGATCCATTCATCTACCGAAGGGCATCTGGCTAGGTTTCATTTATTAGCCATGGTAAATAATGCTGGAATGAGCCTGGTTGTACTGGTAGTTTTAGTGTGGACTTGTTTTTGGTCATTTGGGAAAATGCCCAGGAGTTGGATTTCTGGATCATAAATGAGCTCTATTTAGTCTTTTGAGGAACCTCCATACTGCTTTCCAGAGTGACTGAACAAGTTTAGACTCCTTTTGTGCTTAACTGTTTAAAGCATATATCTTCAGGAAGTAGCTTATAATTCTGGAAGCCACATCATCATTATTTGTCATCAGTTCTAAGTGTTGCTGATTTGCCTACCTTCTCCCTCCCCATTCTTGTTACCATTGTGAACACAGATCATTGGCATATTCTGTCTGTCTGGCAACTTCCAAATACCAGCAACAGTATAACCAGTGTAGACTCTCACTATGGTTCTGCCTCTGTCTGCCCTGCAG